TATTTGCTTTTCTTTTTATTTATTTCCTACTTTTTATCTATTAGGAGCAAGTAAATAAATAAATATCCTACAAGTATCTTGTAGGGGTAGGACTCCTCTTTATTTATGTTTGGGATTGTAACAGAAGGGGGCAAATTATTGAAGCTTTTATCAGATTTTGAGTGAATTTATCGAGAGAGTATCTCGTTCTTTTCCCTTTTTTATCACGTTCTACATCAGTCGGGTAACTCGGTTATCCTTTACCCACCGCAAAATTTTACTAAACAATCGCTGGCTCGATAATTTTTTGGAGAACGGCTTTGAGTTGATCGATCCGAAGCCGAGCAGACATGTGGCTGGTGAGGACGAGTTCGATCGGGGAAGGCAAGTTCGTCGGTGGCAACGGCAGTTTGATAGGTCGGCATCTGGGCTTATTTCGACGTCGGGCTGTCGGGTCGGTCCGGATGTGGATTTCGGCAAAGGCGAGGATGGATATATCCTTTGTACAGCCGACGTCCGATTTCAAGTCAGGATTGACGCCGGTTGCTGTGAGGCAGTACCTGGTCGTCAGTGGTGAGGTCGGATCCCTGTTGAGGTCCGGGGATGACGAAGGCTGGTCTGGTGTGGTCGGTCTCGGTGACTAAGATCGAAGGTGCCGAAGTGATTTCGGAGAAGACAGAGTCGGGTATGGCTAGGTGATGCATATCGGTGGTTAGCCGGAGGAGGTGAGGTCGGCTCTGGCTGGATCTCGTTGCTCGGCTATTAGCCGGAGGAGGCGAGGTCGGCCCCGGTTGAGTTACGCGGCTCGGCTGTTAGCCGGAAGAGACAAGGTCGGCCCCGACTGGGTTACGCTGCTCGGCTGTTAGCCGGAGGAGGTGAGGTCGGCTCCGGCTGGGTCACGTTTCTTGTGGTTTAGTACCGGCCTGAATTCTGAGGTTGGCACCGGAAAGTTTTTGTTTGGCTGCAGCCAAGATGGATGGTCTTTGTAAGGGTAGCGTCAGCCCGTCACCTGCGGTGTATCGGGCTGGATTACGGCGCGGAGTTGTGTTCAGGTCGTGTTTTGAGGTTGGAGATCCAGTTTTTGGATTTGAGCGAGCTCAGCACTTGGGTTGTGAGGTTGCGTTCTCAGCTCGTCAGCAGCGAGGGTGTGAGGTCGGCCGACGGCTATGGAATAGGCGGCAACTGCGAGGTCATACTCTATGATATGAGGTCAGAGATTGGAGGCGACAAGGTGGCCCGTCGCGGTGGCGGGGTCTGTCTGGCAACTGCGATTAATTTCGATTCGGAGTCCGATTGCCATGGTATTTGTGGTGAGGTGCCGGCCTGAAGTTTGAGGTTGGCGTTGAACAATTTCGAGCTCGGTTGTAAAGTCTGGTTCGGCTTATGAAGTGGGGGTCTGAGCTTGGTGATGTAGAGGCTCGGTCCCGACTGCTGTGGTGTGGAATGGGCCTGCCGAACATGAGGTCGGCCCTAACGGTCGCGGTTGCAGGTTTGAATGGCGAGTTCGGGTATGGAGGTCGATGTTTTTCCCTGTGTTGTAGACTCTCATGTTGCCTTCCTTTTTTTTTATTATTATATATATTTTATATATATATTGGGGTGATGTGATATGAACAATACTATCCAAGACAGTAACAGTGATTAACACGTGGCTTTGCTGCGTAAGTTGTATCGTCTTCCTATTTTTTATTCGATAGAAAAGAAAATGAAAAGAAAAGGAAAAAAACGATTGGAAAAAGTTGCGTAATTCACAACAAGCAGGGGCTTTCAGATTTCCAAATTTTCACATTGCTTGGAGTGATGAAAAAAAAGGGAAGAGTAGAAAATGATAGAACAGAGTCAGATCTCCAAATTTTTACATAGCTTGGAGTGATGAGAAAATAAGAGTAGAAAAATGAAAGAACAGAGTCACAAAATGCAGAAGAGTAGAAAAATGAAAAGACAGAGTCACAAAATGCAGAAGAGTTAAGGGAAAAATATGAATGAATTGCTTAACTCGGACTGATCTATGTTTCTCGGTGGAGATGCGGTTGTTTTCCAATGAAAATTGATCCCAAATAAATTATGGGCCCCTTCCATTAGCGTCAAACTGTTGATGTCGAAAATCAAACGATCAACCGTTAAATATAAATCAAATTGTGTTATGTAAATGAAGAGCTAAATCAGTAAAATGTGTGTTTATTTTTTATTTTTTTTAAAGTGTTTTTCTCTCTCTTTGTAGTTGGCGAAGATGAAAAAAAATGAGGAGGAGTCCTCCTTTTTTGTTGAGCCCATTTATATATATGGCCCTTTTTTACAAATGAGGGAATAAAAAATAGTACATTATTATTAATGCGAGATAATTATCGTGGGGCCCGTTAACGACTTTTGATGGTTGTAATTGATGTTTGTCTTCTCGGCAATGGTCGTGTTTTCCGAAGGCGTCATTTTCTTGATATATATGACATCCGATTACTTAAAACTCTATCCAGTTCGGCAACAGACGTACTCGCCATCTGGGGACCAAGTCGGCTTTTAGATGATCAGTCTTTTGTACCTTTTTTTTATTTTATTTATCATGTATTATCGGCTGGTTGAAGTTCTGAGAAGAAGATTCATTTGAATTGCTAGTAGGACTCTGAGAGGAAATAGGTCTAGGCCCATAAATATCTTCTGGTGCTTTAACCAATCACCAAATTGTCCTTCCTCAAGGGAAGTGTTTCCAATGTCACTCTTCCTCTTTTCACAGGATCTTTCCAGATGTCCTATAACCCCACAGTAGTGGCAAAGGTTCACAAGTACTGAATAACTGTACTAACTTGTTGGTTATTGAGTTTTAAATTCACGACACGGGGGAGAGGTTTGGATACATCTAATACCACCAAAATATATCCTGATAAAACTTCATTTATTGCCTCCTGCCTTAACCACCACTACACTGAGAGTTTTCAAAAAAATTAAGCTCCTTCTGATACCAACATCGGAGCAAAGCCCGTTAAGGGGTAGGTTGCTCACCTGAATCCACATTTTCAATTCATTGAAACCCGGATGAGTTTGACTAAGTCCCTCCTCCCAATCCCCAACAACCAGATACTTGTTTTCAAATAGCCAATGAATTCCAGCTGCAACTTTCTTCTTATCATTCGTACTTCTTTAGTTC